TTTTACAAATAGATTTCATTGGACAGTGTTGTTTGTTTTACAAATCGATTTCATTGGGCAGTTTACAGTTCAAGTGAATATTTAGCAGATGACTTAATAAGACAACTGCATACTTATTGATCTGCTAAACGCATATCTCAAACTAATATGCTAAAAATCCTTTTGTTGCATTCTCATGTTAAAATATGACAAATGTGACAAGAACAAACCACATTTGTACTATAATTCTTCAGTAAAGTTAAAGTATTTCTAGGATGTGGTGAAAGGACAAAACACTTTACCCATTTAAGCTGAAGGAATATATGCTATATATCCTTTAAGTCATCTACCTTTGGAAAATCCATAATTGTATAGAAAAGGAATTGCTTCTCTTTACCCATAATTCAAATAATAAAAAAATTGGTATTGCCTCCCTCTGCCTCGAATCATCCTAGATCATTAAATCAACATACCATGTATATATCTGAGCGCTTATCAATTACTGGCAGATTTTGTTAATAGTGTAAATATTGACTTAGTTTCATCAAAATCATATTTCATCAAATTACTGAGCGAAAACCTTCGGCCAATCACAGCACAGTATGTTAATTGATTAAGCACAGATTTTGCTCAACTTCAAACTCAGCCTTTGTCTTGGTATAACTTAATTATTGAGCAAGTTTCTTCTGAATCCAGTCAACTTTGATTGAATCATTGTGCTTGTTACATGCTCATCAAGTTTCAATAAAGTCACATGACATTTAAGCAAGTTGTTTTGGTAAAACCAAAAAAATGAACAAATTTATGCTTAATTTCCATACCAAAATATTTGACAAATTTTTGATAGGCCTATAAGAAACATTTCTATGGCAATATATCTGGTAAGTATTTTATATAGATATACATGTACAAGGCATCTTAGTAAGACAGACCATTGAGGCAAGTGACCAGTGAAGCTGACTAATGAGAGATACAGGGTAAGTGACCTGTGAGATTGACCAGGAAGGGCAGTCACCAGTGAAGCTGACCAATGAGAGATACCGGCTTGGTGATCTGTGAGATTGACCAGGAAGGCTAGTGACCAGTAGGACTGACCTGAGATCACTTCAGCGATGCTGTCGTCTTTGGTGTTACATTCAAACACCTTGCCGTCTGCAGTACTTGCCAGGAGAATGTGATGGACTTTGGTATGGAAACGCAGGCACATGATCTGTAGGCCTCCATACCGTGGCTTCCTCAGTTCTTTAATAAACTCGCCAGTCCTGGACTCGTATAACTGTAAAAAATAAATTCAATGTGTCATCTATCACAGTCAATATTAACTGTGATCATACAAACGTTAAACGGATTTTATCAGAAACTAATAAAGCCAAGTTTTTTTGTGTGTAAATATTTATTACCTTGATGTAAATTTATATATCAATAGCAGCACTGATTAACAAACCTGGCTTTTAAAAATGATATATTGCACGCCTCAGAATAATCAAATAAATGTACAATCAATATTGGTGAAGTGTAGCTAATCAATCATTCTATTATAGTTTAGACCTCCCTCATTTCTACACTAGGTCCATCAATGCCACAAAGGAAGGGAGAGGCTATTATTAAGTAAGAGGTAAGAAAGGTTAAACAGGGTGTTGGCAGATCTGGCCAGGTTATGTAATTGTAAACATTTTAGATGTTATCTTAATGTGCCTAGAAAAACTATCACTGTAAAATCAATATATTATACAATCATTGTTTTTTTCCTTTTCTTTCTTTTTACAATATTTGAATTAAAAACACCCATACGACGTGCACTTGGCTACAGCACTGGTTACATTTTATTATTTTATAAATATATTATTCCTGATCAAAATATTTCATTACTGGTATTGTGATATGTCAATTTATTCATAATATGGACATTTACAAGTACAATTTGTAATTCTTCTCTGATTTCATAACATGAATGGGTGATAACTTACACGGATTGCACCGTTGCCAAATCCAACGGCAAGGGACTCCCCATCATATGAGTACTGTAAACTGTAGACAGGGCCTAGGGAATCAATGTCAAAATATACCTCCTTGATGATCTGCATACCTGTATATTGTTGTGGCCATGATTTTCCTGAAAAGAAAAGAAAACATAAGCAAATGTCTTCCAACATCTACATTTATGCTTTCTACTTATAATTTCAAGTAATTTGATTAAGTTATGTTAGCCTGGAGGATTCAGAGCTGTAGGAGGGACAGATTTCATCAGCGGGCTCGATTCTTGTCTTTGTGATAACATGAGACATTTTGTCTATGCTAGGTACACTGGACCAACATTTTACATCCCCATTTAATATTGTTTGCCATGAGGGAACATTTAGGATTATATAATACAATGTGATCTAACAAACTAATCCCCTTCACTCTGTAGTACAGTGGTACACTTTTTGCTCAGGATCCTCTGTCTATCGAGCTACCTATGCTACCTATATTGTACAGTGGTACAGTGCTCAGGATCCTCTGTCTAT